TTTTTTATAAAGAACTGTTTTTGAACTTTAACGAGAAGTTTCGGGATTGAGTTTCAGTTGATTTATTCAATTTTATGGAGCAGTTCGTGACTTTGTTGTTCTTGTCTTATTCATCAAATTTTGCTACTGTTTTCATCTGCGTTTCAGATTTTTGTTATTGAGAGATGCGGTGAAAAAATTAATGTTTTTGAAGTTAGATTATTGTATTTTTCTACTCTTTTTTCTTGCATTTTGCGAAGTGGATCGACCTTTATTTGACATTATTTAGAAGAAGTTTACGGAGATTGTAATTAATGGAGTAGTGGAAAAAAGAAGTTTTTTGTATATCATTTCAGTTGTGTTTTGCGGGTTAGTCTTTTTTATGATATCTATATGTATATGGAGACACGTATATTAGAGCCTCTGTTAAGCGGTACATTGTAAATTACCGTAATTTATGTGGTCGCAATGGTGTGTTATGTACTATTCGTGCCTTATTAATTCAGTTCGAACTTACTAAGGTTTAGCCTGTTAAAATTGTTTTTGGTTGCTCAATTCGGATGTTTTTTCACCAATCGTTTAGACGAGTAGAACCGTCTGAGAGTTTTCCATTGAGAAGGAGAATAATTAACTGAGGGTGGAAGCTGATGAACACCTAGCTGTCCGCAGTAATACATTGACAACAGGCAATACAGTCTTTTTAAAGGTTGTATCCTGTACATGATGAGCGGTTAATTTGGCCTAGAGAGAACTGGCTTACAGAAGTCTTTTATTTTAAAAATGAGAGCGGTTTCTTTGAAATTAATACTTTTACGTGACTCAACCTACTAGAACCATTCTTTGAAGAAAACTTCGTATTTTTATAATATTGGTATCAGTTTTTAGGCTAGGGAAGACTTTATGAGACTTGGGACTGCATAGCATGAACACAGGTAGCTGCGTGAATTTGACAAATTCTCGCAGTTTAGAAGGTGGTTGCTTTATCTTCTAAATTGTTGTTATTTGCTTTTGACTGTCGTTACTGCTGGTTCTGAAAGTCGTTGTTTGGAGTATCGATAAGGAATAAAAGTTTACTCCACTATTTACATTCATTGTAATTTGTGCAATGGAACTGAATATTAGCTTATTATGCAAATTAGCGGGAGACGTGCTGTGTCAACAAACAGAACAGTTTTCGCGTTCGCTGATAGTAGTTGTTTTTGATGGCTTTGGACAATTGGTCTACCGAAATTTATAGCCCGTGAATCTGTCGGTAAGAACTTACGGGCTGTAAGCTTGTCTTTGTAATTGCTGTCGAAAGAACCTGTAAGGGTTTTGCTTGTAAAGTCGGTTTATTCTTCTTTGCTTACTTCAGTTTTGAAATAAGTGTTTTTGTGGATCTTACAACGAGCAGTGGAAACAAAGCTTGGGAGGCTTGCCGTAAAATGCCTTGCGGGAAGTTGGCTCAAGTTTGCTGTTACAAAAAAGTTCAGTCATGTCTTTTTGGATGGACGATGCCATTTCTCTGTGTTTTCTTCCTTTTTTTGAGTCTCCAGTGCATTGAGGTGGTAAAGCTAAAAATTTCTAGCAGTTACATGGTCACCGAGGACTTCATATTCGTTGGTATGTATTTGGCAATTTGCAATTTGTAGTTTGAAGTATTTGAAGTGTTTTTTAAATTCCACGTTTCTCATCTATAATGAGTTTATATTTGAATGGATACTTTGAACTTTTAAACAGCGCTGGAACTAACAGTTCTAGTTGGCTTGTAATTGCTGGGTGTAAACTGAAGTTTAAGCGAGAGAAGAATTAATTAAGTTGATTTAGTAAGAGAAGGAACTGTGATTTGTTCGATAGCCGCACAGTAGTGGGTAAAAATTATACAATGTTTATTTTAAGTTCTCTATTTATTGTCATGTCACACCCTTATGTACACTGAATTTTTTTTGTTTCTGAAGTTATAAGTGGAGGACAGGAAATAAGCTAACGGAAGTTAGCAAAGATGGACAGTCTATTTTATGCAGCTTTTTCCAACGTAATAACAAGGTAACTGTTAGAAGTTGCTTTCTCCATGGAGAAAAGGCTTTCTCTACTTTCCTCCTGAAGTCATTTGGAGGAATTTTGTGCGAAAATCAAATGCTAGCCGAATTCTAAGTAAGGAGATGAAAAACAGGATAAGTGCTTTCTCGCAATGACAAAACCTTTGAGCAGAATGAGTGAAATTAAATAAGTAGTATTGTATCTCGTTCTGAGTTCTGAGCTAGGAAATGAAGAATGTAGCGTCATAACGACTTTTTTACCAAGCATCCTGATTATTATCGAAGTTGTCACATTCGGTTATCTTTTACTAAATTTGTAAGTATTATTTAAATACATTATTTTCGACTTTGAAAATTAGAAACCCTGAGTTCTGCTAGTGCGGTTCTTACAGCTGCTTTTCGGTGACTCGTTTTGAACAGTTTTTTGAAATTTTTGTTTTCCGTAATGCAGGGGTTTTTTTCGTAAAACACAGTTTAAAAATTGTGTTGCGACCCTCTTGGAAAATGAATGAAACAGAGGAGAAGCTTAAAATCTGAAAATTTACAAAGTCTCTAGGACCGGGCTTTTTTTTTTTTTTTTTTGTTCTATAAAGGAGGAAAAAAACAGAATACTTTCTTTGTAGTTTACTTGTAAAATTTATTTTGTGATAAACTGCAATTGTTTCTGTTGAAAATTCAACACTGATTTTAAATTTTGAAACTGGTAAGCATAGGATTCCTCATTATTTTTCAAGCTGACACAGTTATAAACCGTAAAGAAGGTTTAAAAAATGAAACTAGATTTATTGGAAGAATAATTTGAGACAAATAAAATATGTACGTAGAGTACGAATTAGTTTTTATTTAAAATAATCGTTCAAATTGCGGGTCGAGAATTAGCCGTCTGAAGAAACATTAAAGAAATTATTGTGAGTAAAGGTGGCATTTTTAGGTATAACACGTTTTTGGCTTCTTATTATCACAGGTGCTACATAGCTACAGATATTTGACAACGATGAGTTATGTTAGTGGTTATGCATTGTTTTGCTTGTCATCGTCTTCGCTATGTTCAAGCAGAATCACTTTTGAGAAACTTTGTTTAAAGAACAGTTTCTGACTGCTGTGAGAAAGAAAGGCAAATTAGGTTCACTGGAATGCGATGTTCATTTTTTTCTGGGTTCTACAAAAAATATGTAAAATTACTTTTCCTAAAAAAGTTAAAAAAAAAACTGGCACTGGATTTTTTATTGGCTAACTAAATGACAAGCCAGAACACTAACCAAAATGAATAAAACAGTTTCAAACAAATAAGTTGAAGAGTATGCCACATTTGTGTGATATGCCGAAAAAATTTGTTGTAGGTGGTGTACCACGGTCGGGTACTACATTAATGAGGGCCTTGTTAGATGCTCATGGAGACATCAGGTGGTAAGTTTACTGTTTTACGTAAGTATATTTGGTATCTAGTAAGAAACTTATAATATGTTTCTCAAGTGTAAAATTGTAGTGGGGAAGAAACTCGAGTAATTCCTGACCTTCTTCAAATGCGTCAACGATGGGAATCTGCTGGCCACATGCACTTGCTGACTGCTGCAGGGGTGACGCATGATGTACTGAAAAGTGCCGTCAAACGATTCATTACAGAGGTTTCTCTCTGTCTTTTTAGAACTTTTCTGTAAAATATAATGTTTCAAGTAGTTATGTTGTATAAACTAAGAAACATTCTGGTTAAAGATTTATGGTTTTGAAAGACAGTGTGGCCAGTAATACGGCTAAATATCTGAGGGTTTTTTACTTTACTAAAATTATTTTGTACTTCATTGTACACATCATTCGTGTTGTTCAGATTATCAGGAACCACGGTAAGCTTGCTAAACGGTTATGTGATAAAGATCCTTTAATAATGTTATCGATGAAGTACCTTCATGAAATGTTTCCGCGTGCCAAATTTATACTGATGTTGCGGGACGGTCGTGCTGCGGTACATTCAATAATAAATCGTCGAATTCCTGTTATCGGTTTCAGCTTGAATGAACCTGAGGTATAAAAAGTCTCGCTGTTTACAAATATTTAGCTGTCTTTTAACTTCGATAAAAATGGACTGTTTTTTTTCTTTTCAATTTTAAAATTGTATGACTGCAAACTGTTGTCGATAGCGCAGGCGTCATTGAAAGTGTGGAACCGAATGATTGAGGGAATGTATAATCAGTGTATAGACCTCGGAAATGCTTACTGTCTTCCTGTACGTTAATAATGTTTTTATTTCTTTTATCATGATGTTTTGTCAATATATTTGAATAGGCTTAAATATATTTTGGATAATGTAAAGTATCTGTAAGCAAAAAATGTTAAGGTAATTTAGTTTTTTTATATTTGAAAGCTTCAAATTATGTTGCTTTAATTAGTTGGTCTTTCAGTGATATAGACAATATATTTGAAACAGTTTCGAGATTTGAATGTCGGTTAAAATTTCTAGAAACTTTGAACTTTGTTTTGCGTAATCTTTAACAAGAGTTACAAGAGCATTCAAACAGTGACATTGGATGGGCTTCTGGACTGTAGTTTCATATTTCTTAAGCAGTAGCAGCAAATCAAAATTTTTTAACAGGTACTGAGGCGCTGCACTCAAATAATTCTTTATGAAGACTTAAGCATAAACTAAAGATTAAATGAGATCAAGATGTTATAGACAAATATTTTCTTAATGTTATACCTTATGGAAAATTAGGTATACTATGAACGTGTTGTTTTACACACTAAAGAAGAGATGGAGAAGATTTTTCGTTTTCTTGGAATTCACTGGTCGGAGAGGGTACTTCATCATAAAACCTTTATTGGGAAAGATATTCGACTAAGTCCGTAAGGTTTTATACCGATTAAACGAACCACTTTCAAGTAAATTTTGTTTTTTTGTGACGACGGCAGTTGTACTATTATTTATTACTACAGGTTTTCGCTTCTACGTCTTATCCTATCAAAAACAGCTGCAGTAATTTTAGAATTGATTTTTTTAGTGAATAGAGATTTTTTAGGTTGGAATTTAGCACAACTCAAGTAAAAAAGTCGATATACGTCAACGCTTTGAACAGGTGGAAAGGATTTTATTCAAAAGATATTCTGCGACGGCTCACTTCTATTGCGCCAATGCTAATAAGACTTGGTCAGTTTGAAAATTTAGTCTTTATGCATAACATGACAAGAGCAGTAAATAATCACCTGAAATTAACAAATTTAACGGAGACTTTTGCTTATTTATTATACGGTAGAGCGAATGGTGATTTAGACTGAAAAAAGTGAAGGGATGTCTTTACTAATTTTTTAATTTAAATCTTATAAATCTTAATCAACGCAATGGAGCATATTAAAAATGTAAATCGGAAGTATTAGAACTTATTTGTCGATCATAAAATTTATGTAGTTGTGTAATAAAGAAGAAAAATAGATCTTGATCGTAAAATATTTCTTCTATAGCTGTGATGACTTTCAAGATATTAACTATGGTGATAAGGAGATAGCCAATTAGTGGGAAGCTCTTGTTATTTCTTAATAAGGATATAACGTTTAGACTGCGTTTTCATTTATCTAAATATTTGAAATATTTTTTGCGTTAATTTGGAATTGACTTTTTATGAAAATTATGTTTATATTAATATCTAAAGAATTTTGATTTAGTCAGAAAGAAATCAAGTTAATGACAGTCTTGAAGGACTATTTTTTACACACAGGAAATATATAGGTAATGTGGTAAATAAAGTTTATTTTTATTTTAGGTTATAATAGCACTGATGAGGATCCAAATTACAATGATTTATGAAAGCACTGGAAGATGCTGTTGTTGTATCAATTAAAATATCTTGTACAAACGTATAAAAACATAAACACGTAATTATGATGCGACTGTGCTGGCTCATATTCAATGTTCAAACTGCCAAACTTTCAAAGAAGTATAATCTATTTGTAATTTAACAACAACGTTTTTCGTTTAGGCGGAAGGCAGAAGACAGAATTTGTTTGAAAATTGCTGTGTAATTGAGGATTAAAGAAAATGCGTTTTTAATCTACAAAAAGAAGGCTATCTGCTTGGAGAGCAACTCTGATGAACCAGAGAAGGAAATTAAATACAAATTTTTTGTTATATTAATTATGGTACCAGAAATATACAACAATCAAAAAATTTTGCACAAAAAGGGCAAGATATGAGGAATTTTTTTGAAAGTGAGAAAAATATCACTACATATGGCATAGATCTTGTTTAGTTATGTTGCCACAAAAAACAACAGTTTCAGGTATTCAAACAGAGATGGTAAGAAAGTGGTATCGCGTATTTACCATTAGTCATGTAATATTCTACTGTCCACTTTTTCTGTTCTATTCGGGTGGGCTAGTTATCGTAAAAGCCTCTTGGCTGAGCGCTGTTTGACTGATAAGGCAAATGCGTTTGGGCTGAATTCATTGCGATGCGTTGTCCAGTCCCATTCATGTTCTGCAACAGACATTTAGATACTTTTTCAAAAATAACCATGACTGGGGTAAAGGTTGACGCTGCATTCTTGAGTGGCAGAATAAACAAAATAGAGCATATTGTAACGTGAATCAAGGGGTTTGAGTAACAATTTTGCGATTTTTCATATATAAAAAACATTGATACGACTTACTTTAGTGTACCACAGATGGGTGCCACGTTGACAAAACACATTTGAATTTGTTTATTCAAATATTAGGATTGCTACAGTACAGAAAATATTAAAACAAGAATAAAACGATGTTTAGTTTTATTTCGCAACCAGCTTTCAGTTTTCGTTTGTTGTGCATTATTATTATATATTATCTGAACTGCTAGACTGCTTCTTTCTCTATTTCTAGAGCTTCAAGGTCATTGTTTACTAAGCCTTCTCCAACTCTATTTCTGAACGTACTGTATGAGCAGTTTTTGGTCGTTGATTAACATTTTCACTGAATAATTTGGATTTATATTCTATATAATTGTGTAGGGCTCGGATTTACAGCTTTTTTGGAAAATTTGAACATATGTAAGTTTGACAAACTACATTGATTAGCTCTAAAATAATCTTGAGAAAAGCTCAATAATTTTTTTTTTGAAGTATGAGGTTTAAACGACTATATTTTTTAATAGAATAATGTGAATCTGTTTTACCTGCTGATAGTTGACACTACTGTAGTTTGTTCTCGCTGAGTACGGGAAATTTTCATTGTAATTGTAAGCGCTTCCTGTGTACGGCATACTGCTCTAAATTTAATTACTTTTCTACTGAGATTTTGGTTTTCATTTTTTTTAAACATTTATTTCATAGCACAATTCTCTGTCGCTATCATTAGTCTTTACTAAACTGCTACTTTTTAACAGTAAACTATTGCTCCGCACAACTTTAAGAGATTTTAGTCAGTAATCAATGTTGGGCCATTCTTCGTGTTGTAAAGGCGTTATGCTGCTGTTACCTGAGCGTTGATTAAAACACTTCTATCGGCATTATGACGGATAAGAACTCTTGCTACTCTATCGTTTCCAAGGCTGCTCGCCCAGAACAAAGGAGTGGCCTGTAGTTAAAACCGCGGTTACACCCACATCGAAATTTTAAAGGATAGCAGTCAAAAAGATTATTAAACAGAAATGATTTAAAAGTTTAGCAAGAACTTTCTTTTATTAAATTTCTCCTACATAACTGATTAACATCAGTAATTTTTTTGATTTTATTTTCTGGTAAAATAGTGAAAAACATTTTGAGACTTACTGTCTACCGCTTGACTCTCTAAAAACTCAGGTTTTTCTGTTTCAATCAAAGTAATATTTCACTAATTTTTTAATTTTCTCCAAAATTTTGCAAGTTTAACAGCAAATTTTGTTTGTTGCTAACTATTTTAGGCGGTAAAGTTACAGTTATATATTTTGACTAAGAAATGGTACTTAAAATTACCCCTTCGTTGTCTTGTTCGTCTACTCGAGCTCTACATTGCAGCAATAGGTCGGCAGCACGAGGATGGTCATAATGAGCTGCATAGTGTAATGGGGTTTTCTGTAATTATAAAGCTTGTCACCTAAATTCTCTTCTCTGCAAAAATAAAAAACTACCGAAGGAATCTGGAAGTATCTAAATATTTCGGCAGATTATAACGTGAGCGCTCTATGCTGATATATTTTGGAAAAGTAACGGTGCATGAAAATGTGTCTATTGTATTTTAGCAGTGGTTTTGCTTGGCTAGCTGCTTATAAGCAATGCGCTTGGCATAAATCTTCGAAAATTATTTCATTAATTTTTTTAGCACGATTATAGTTATAACGTAAATAAATCTCTGTTACTCTGTTAGCATTGTGAGCATTGACTTCAGCCCCACATTCAATTAGAAATCTGGCTGTATTGACGTGGTTATATTGAATTGCACAGTGCAGTGGAGTATCCTGAAGCCATGAAAACTTGAAATACCAGTGTGTGACAAGAGAGCGATTAGTTAGAGCCAAAGAGGTGAATAATTCCAAACAAATTGACTGAGCAAAACAAGTTTTGGAAGCAATTATCTGCTGTATCTGAGTCAACGGATCTTATTGTTTTGGTTCTTTATTACATTTCGAGATTTTTTTTACCTAAATTTTTTTTTACGACTGATTATTTTTGAGACAGTCTAATTTGCCAGTAACTTGAAAAACAGTAGTTATTTTTCTGTAAAGAAAAACTTATTGTCTTACTAACTAAGCGCTTTAATTAAACAGATAATTTTTTAACTTTAGCACTAGATATTGGAAAGCCTGATTATTTGAAATTACATTGTCGTAACTTTTTGATTAGCACAGACAGGTCAAGAGTTATAAATAGGTGCAAACGACTGTAGAAAATAAATATTAAATCTATCAATAAGTTCTCATGCTAACAAAATAAAAAAAACAAAATTTTTAGTACCCCATCAGCATTTTTGGCATTAACATCTGCATTCTTTTTCAAGAGAATTTTGGCGATTTCGATGTTTCCTACACAACACGCAATGTGCAGTGGAGTTACCTAAAAGAAAATAAAATTTATGTACTGTATTAAATAAATGAAGTCAGTCATCATTAGATGATTAAACACTACCTCCAATTTTTCTTTTGAACACACCACAGCTCCATACTGTATCAAAAGTTTAACAGCTTCAATGTTTTGAGAACGACAAGCATAGTGCAAAGGAGTTTCCTGAAACGAGTTAATCTGTGGAATTAAAGTACGTAACCACTATTTCTGTAGCAAAATTATTACTTTTAAGTTTGTCAGCAAGAAAAATACTTGCTCAAAAAAAAATTTGTCTTTGTTTTTAACAACTGTAATAAAAAATAACAGCCAGATGACTGAGACAACAATAACTACTTGTTTTTTATCTCGAATGCTGATGACAACATCGAATTGGTTAAGAAGTTTTATGGTCTTAACGTGACCATTTTTGCATGCATGATGTAAAGGGGTCTCCTAAAAAAAAGTGTTAAGGTGGTTTATTAGACGATGTATACAGAATTAAATATAGCACCATTATATATTTCCAAACTATTACAGCAAACGTATCTCAACAAGAAGAAGCAAAATAAACCAATAAAAAGCTTCAGAAGTAAAATGAAAATAAATTTAAGCTAGAAAATTTCTTTTTCTTTTGAATGGTGACTGCGTAAGAAATTTTCGGTAATTAGTTCAAAGAAGAGGCTACAAAATGTTACTCCGTCGTCGTCCTGAGCGTTTATTTCAGCACCACATTCAAGAAGAAGTTTGGAAACTTCGACGTGGTCGTTAGCACATGAGGAATGCAATGCAGTCATCTAAGAAAAAAAATTTGATTAATTTTTATTCTAACAAGGGCTTCACT